TCACAAAGAGATTCAGGCTGGGGTGAGGTCGGTTTGGCTGGAGAATAGAGTGGTGGGGTGGAGCATATACAAGGATGCATTCAGGTAGGAATGGCTGGGGAACCGTGAACCGAAATAAATCCTGCTTCTTTAAGATACTCCTCTTTAAGATACTCCACCGTGATTGTCACAGTGATGGAAAGCTGACGAATACAAGTGGGGCTCAGTACAGCTCCTTGGTGAGCCCGGAATGAACTGAGGGCTAAACCCAAAAAGTGTGCCCAGGTGTAATGGGCGCCTGAAGAAGCCCAGCTGGGGTAATCAATAAAGAACCTTTCCTTGGAGGCAATAGCTAATATAGCTTGTGTCTGGATGTACCCCCAAAGCCTTATATGTTCGTAGGTGGGGCTCTGCAGAGAGGCTGGGTTAAGTGTGTGTGGTAACTAAATTAGTCCGCTGAGTGGTTGAGCACAGTTCTTTATGTGGATACGGGAAGGCTCACCCTGGGTGTGGGTGGCACCATTCAAATAGGCTTGTATCCTGGATGGGACAGAAGAGAAAGGAAGGCTCTCTGCTGATTTGCTTTGCTGCCTCCTGTGTGCTCTGCTGTGGACTGTTTCTCCGCTTACTGCCCATCTGCCATGCTGCCCTGCCTTGGAGCCAGCTGACTGCAGCCTGAAACCTCTACAAGCTGTGAGCCCAAATAAACTTTTCCTTCTTTAACTTGTGGGTGTCAGGTATTGTATCCCAGAAATAAGTACAGCATCTTTAGCTTGACAAAGAACAAAGTTGTGGCGAGCATCTGCATCAGATTAAAGCACAGTAGCCCAGGCACAGAGGTGTTACCGTAGATTACAGTGAAGTCTCCTGTTGAGCCACTAGGCATGTTTCTTGTCATCTGAAATGCAACATTGCCACCATTAAGCTATTAAGCATGTTTCTTGTCATTTGAAATGCAATATTGCCACCAACAGCAGCCCTGTACGGGAAAGAGTTCTGAATTATAAATTCAGAGATTTGGGCTCCTCCCTGCTTTTTCCTGGCAATGGGGAAGTCTCTCTCAGTTATAAAGTGCCTCATTTGATAAATAAGAAAATTAGAGCAGATGAGAAACACAATTCTATAACTATAAAGCATCCTGGGTTCCTTAAATTAGACAACTCGGTTAAATGTCTGCGGTAGACAAGACACTGAGAGGTTCAATGTAATTTCATCTTTGTAAGCAATGTAATTGGTTCTAGTTAAGTGCATTTTCATAAAATGCTAAATCATTTAAATAATGACATAATCTTAGCATAAAAATGTTTTCTACCTATTTAAGAGCCTTTCTGCTTGGGGAAAATGTAAGTTAACAGAAACCTGGTGGACAGAGTCCAGGCTTACTTAGTTAAATTCAACAGTCACATTGATTAAATTTGTGTGGCGAAATTCCAAGAAAATGCTATAAAATTATGCCTGAACTACCACTCTAAAATATACCCCATGAAAATTATCTTTGTATAATAACTTGAAATTTAAATATAAAGATATGAAAAGGTCCATTTTTATTCTCAGAAAATTTCTCAGAAAGAAAATATCTCTGTACCATCAACTCAGGGACTCCCTGACTCTGTAAGTAAAAATCCAGACCTCATCACCTGGGCCTGCACTCTGTTCAGATAGCAGTGTTTATTGAATACATAGTGGGGTCAGAGACCCTATGCTTACTACAGTGCACGTCTTCTCATTTAGTTCTCACAGTGACCCTAGGACAGTGGTGGCGAACCGATGCACACCTGCCGCGGCGGGCTGCTTGTATTATGGAAAGCTGTAAAAGGATTGTACCACTGCAAGGTATCAGAATTCTTATTTTTGTACTTAGATGCTGGTGTGCTCCTGGTTCCTACACAATACTTCTGCTTAGATTCTAGAACACTTATATTCTGCCTTATCTGTGAAGATCAAGAACCTTTAGGTGACCTACACAGCAAGTTTGAGGTTATTTTACAAGGCACAGTTCAAAGGCGCAGCCAGCCTCTGCCGTCAGTGACAGTCATCATGTAAAATAGTTGCTACCTAGTGACTCTCTGGTCTGCAAATGTGCTTCTTTTGGGAGGACTTCTCTACATTGTCTCTCTCTTTTTTTTTTTTTTTTTTTTTTTTTTTGTCTTTTTTTGAGACAGGGTCTCACTATGCAGTTCAGGCTGGTCTTGAGCTCACTTTGTAGCCCAGGCTGGCCTCAAACTTGCAACAGTCCTCCTGCCTCAGCCTCCTGAGTGCTGTGATTATAGGAGTGCAACACCACACCTGGCTTACACTGTCTCTTTAAATATGCCAGCTTTGCTTCATCCAGGGAACCTGTTAAAAATACTTAGCTTGGCACAAGCAGCAGTCAGAAGAGGCTCCAGTCTGTGCCAGATTGATTAGCTTGCTGGTGCTGCCCAACAACATCCGTACCGCAGACTGGGGGCCAAAACGGCAGACACCGGTTTCCTCACATGATCTTCCCGCCATGCCTGGCGTGTCCACATCTCCCCTTTTTATAATGACACGAGTCATTGGATGGGATTTCTCTTTAATCACCTCTTTAAAGACACCTTCTCTAAATATAGTCCCATTGAGGTACCTGGAGTTAGGCCAGGAACGTATGCACTTTGGGTGACATAGCTCAGCTCAGAACACAGGCTTTCCTCTTCTTGGCTTCTGGGTGAGGGGAGGTGGTGGAGCAGCTGAGTCTGGGAAGGGGCAGGCATTGGACAGACCTGGAGGAACAGCTTTGGGGAACAGCTTTTTATTCACTGCTGTGGAAATGTGTCATGATTCTACCAACTAGCGTTATTGTAATAGTTTGTAGGAACTAAAGCTTCGTCCTGACCCAACTCTGCTGGGCTTTCCAAAGGGCAGCGATATACCTTCAGGCATGTTACTCCCCCAGCCTCACCCCTTTGAAGTTTCCTACCTCAAAGCTTCTCTGGAGAGAGAGAGAGGAGAGAGAGAGACAGACAGACAGAAAGACACACACAGAGAGAGACAGAGACAGAGAGAGGAGAGAGAGGAGAGAGAGACAGACAGAAAGACACACACACAGAGAGAGAGAGAGAGAGAGAGAGAGAGAGAGAGAGGTGAGAGAGAGAGAGAGGGAGAGGGAGAGGGAGAGAGAATCTAAGAGTCTCTCTTCTGTTCAGTCCAAGCGCCTTCCCCGCTTCGCTCCAGTCAAAAGCCCACCTCTTGGGTCTGGGACTAGAAGAGGAGAGGAGGAGGGAAGAAACCAGAGGTCACCATCTTTGTCTTTGTATCTTTGTCTGTGTGGGCAGAAACTTTTGTATTTTCTAACTGTGCTCACTGATTCCATATCTTTATTATCTACTTCAGATGTCCTTCATGTCTGTCACATTGCTTCCTGCCTGCCAGCGAGAGAGGGAGAGGAGGTGAGACCAACCGCTTACATTTGCGCCTTGGGCAAAAGAATGGGCCTATAAAACCGCTTCGGAATGAATAATGCATGACATCATGTGGGATTTTGTCATAGTCCTCAGGCTGCCTCAGAAACAGCAGCTCACAGGACTAAAGGATCTGAAATCGAAAAGGATTGGGCCAAAGTTCTCAGGCTCGCATCTCTGAAGCAAGAAACAGTGTATACACTGGAGAAGACATTAAATTTTAAAGCAGCAATGTGAAGTTTAGGAAGTAAGTAGAAGCATGCCAAAAAGAAGAGAATTTAAAGGAGAAAATAGAGGCTAACAAGGGAAAAACTGTGTGGGCTTTTTTTTTGTGGATGAACTGAACAGACTATGATCGGAGCTAAAAGTGCTCATCCGTGTAAGATTGATTGCTGAGAACAATGTCATAAAATGAACATTAGCTGGCAATGGTAAGTGCTTTAAAGTGTCTTTTGCAAAGAAAGAAACAAAACATGTCACTATGCCTGAAAACCACTTATAGAAAGCTTCTAAAAGCAAAAGGGAAGAGAAAGGGAAGAATATCACAGGGCTGTCCCATTTATCTTTACTGGGGAACTGCAGGGACGAATTCATTTGCTCTTTTGTGGCACTGCCTCACACTATAGACCAGTCCAAAAGCAAATCATTTTCTCTGTATGAGGCATGCTTTCAATATCCTGATTGTAAGGGAATTTCCCCCTTCCCCCTTGGCTACTTTTGTAAACAAATTAGGGAGGAATTGCTTTGGACTGATTTTGCAGAGAACATCTTTTATGTCTAGTTTACATTGTAGGTCTTGAGCAAGAATAAATAAAGCAAAACATATCGCTCTGGCTATTTTAAAGGATTTGAGCCTAGATAGAATTTGAGTTCTAGATTGAGTTTGAATAAGGTTCCCCCCAACCTTTCTTTTTAAAATCTTAAACTCAGAATATTTCTTGTTCATGCACAAAATTGCTGTTTAAATGAATCTGAACCCCCCCCCAAAATCAGAGATTTTGTGGTTAGAAAAGAGTTGGAAACATCAACTGGTTTTATTCTTTGCTTTGAGACAGCACACACATGGATACATGAACTGACCTCTTTTCATAGGATGTAAAAATTAAATCCTGAATCTCAGAGGCGCTTACACTGGAGTCTATCTGAAGCTGGCCAACTTTCCTTATATGTCAATAAAACTGAGCTCCGGCTTCATAGTTGTGAAATGATGAGCATTACGGGGCCACTTATTTATTTTGGTATGAGTCTATGGCAACAAGTAGTCAACAAATAGTATTTGGACAGCTGCTGTGTCAAGGCACTGTGGCAGGTATTAAGGGAGATGAGACTATTTCAAACATGCCCTTAATCCAAGATTAGAGTTCTTGGGCAAAAGACAGCTATGTACATATGAACCACTTACGATAAGACCTTGACTTAGTTTTTATCCGATAGTTCTTTTTAGCAGTTTCATGAAAAAAGATGCACAGCAATACCTCTTTCAGAACACACAGGGAACATGTAAGTAAATTTGATATTGTGTCTCATTGGTAATATTTATAAATATATAACTTTTTTTAAAGTAGATGTAAGCTCCCTGAGGGATGGAGTTCAGTTACATACCTTTGCACACTTTATGCATCTCCCACAAAACAAAAGCTTGACGCACCATGGAGCTGGGCTCAGTGCTGAAATACATGCCTCGCCCACACTCTGTGATGTGCTCTTCAGTGCTTAGGGATAAGGAAACACAAAATCATCAAAGACAGCTTGACCTGCACAAAAAAACAAAATTTACAGGGACAAGGACTTCAGCAAGAGGTTGAGTGCTACACTGAAGGAAAATCTTTTAATTTTTTTTTTATTTTAAAGAGATTAGTAAAATGAAAGAATAATAGCAAAATGCCTACATCATAGACATAAACAAAGCAAGCATATTAAAAGTGATACAGGGTTTCAAAACTAAACGATAGGAATTAACAGTGGTTGTTTATTACATATTGTTATCTTCAACGAAGTTGCTCAGATTACCAGATCTAGGAATGGAAGATTGATCAAACCATTAAAAAGAATAAAAAAAATTATTAAAATATTAGAGATAATACAGAGTTTCACTAGACAAGATGGTAGGAATTCACCAATGGTTGTTCTATTGGTAATCTGAACAACTGATTTGAAGTCCTTTTTCTGGCACTGATTTACATATTATCGTTTAGCCTTGGTAAACCAATGTTCAAATTGTTGGTACAGTATTATTCTGACTATGAGCTACATTGTAATAAACACTCTCCATTGGTGTATCCCCTTCTTTGCTTTTGCTGTCAATATGCTACAAATCAAATATACTAGTGTACCTTGAACTTGATGTTAATATTGAATTTTATTTTTTAAAAAAGTAACATAGAAATATTTGTTTAAAAGCAGATAATAAATAGTAATACCATCTCAGTAAATACATTGGATAATTTCCCCCACATCTACAGCGATCCCCATAATTTCCTTGTTAACTAATTTTGTTTCATCAGACACTGTCTCCCTAGTGTAAGAAACTGAACAAGTAAGATCCAAAATCTACAAAGCAAAAGGCATTTCATATATTTTCTTTAGTTATGGGTGCCATTTTGAATATAGTGACTTTTGATATAGGGTTTTTTTTTTTTTTTTTTTTTTTTGTACCAGGAATCAAACTCAGGACCTTGTGCTTGCCAGTCAGGTGCCATGCTGCTAAGCTATACCCCTGGCCCAAAAGTATAATTACTTTTGATGACCAACTCAGTTGGAATTATAGGGTATATTTCATGATAGACAATAGAACTTTGATGTTCAATTCTCTTTAAAAAGATTTTTATAAGGACATATTCGTAACTGTAAAACAAAGGACAAGATTTCTTTTATGTAAATCCTTTCAGCTTGACTTCATCTTAAAGGTTTCATTTAATGGCTGCACTGTTTTAGAAATTTTGCTTCACTCTGTTTCTGAGTTAGTAGTCCTTTCCTCTTTTATCTTCATTTTTTTTTCAAGGCAACATACAGAACTTCATTTATTGGAACTGAACGGGAAAGTCCAGGACCTAAATAAACCTAGCACCCAGGAACAGAGAGGTATGAAGAGTAGTTCCCTTTGTTCTCTTTTTTGGGGGTTGGACCCAGAACCTCACTCACACTAAACTCACACTGGCTCATGCTAGGCAAGCACTCTAGTCCCAGAGAAGAGATTGTCAAAGAAGTGAATATAAGGCATGAAGTATTCTGCTTCTACCATTATAATAGGTTTTTTTTTTTTTTTTTGGTTTTTCTCCGGTACCGGGAACCGAACTCACGACCTTGCGCTTGCCAGGCAGGCGCTTTTGCCGCTGAGCTAAATCCCCAGCCCTATAATAGGTTTTGTGGAGAAGAGCAGGGAAGCAAGAAGATTCTTCTAGGTTCCTCCATAGTAAACGTTCAATAATGAAGACACATAATTTTTATGTGTAAAAGTTCATTGTTCCAAACTCTCCTTTAGGAAAACCATTTTATTATAGCATTTATTCTTTCTACTTGTCTTGCCAATAAATTACATACCAAAGACATAATTTAGTAGGAGATGAAAAGCCAATTTCACTGGCACTGAACTTGTTTAAGATAGATCCTGTCAAAGGTTCTAAGGGGCTTGAATACAATGAAAAAAATCCATCAAAATTGATAAAGTCAATCAAATCAATCAAACTGATCTAATATCAGTACCATTATTTCTATCACTATCACCACAATCATCAACTATCTGTGGATACTCAGTGTGAGGAGAGGGTGCTTCCCCTGCTTTCCATGACAGCCCACTCTTGGGAATTTCATCTCACAGAAGCACCCAGGAAGTTGTCATTAGACAATTAGAGTTGGGCAGTAATTGGGCTCAGAACCTGAATGATGCTGAGAAGCTTGTGGTCACAAACTTTTAGGAAGGTCAGGAGAAGATGACCTTTTGGCATGAACTTAACATCCAATTTACAAGTGATGCTTATTCTGCGGAGCAACTCCTGTCCTGGACCTCTGTGTTGGGATCCAAGAAGAACAAGAAACTCCAAGGAAGGCATTTCAGGGCATTAAAAAATTGTAAAAAGAAGGAAAGGCATTGAAACACTGAAAAGGATTTGTGGAGATCCAGGTAAACGGCGTTGCAAAATTTTCCCCCATGTGCCTCTTTTATGTTGTTTTATTCTCTTGCCCCAAGTCCTGTTGATGGTATAATTTTAACTGAGAACAAAACAGACCAAAGTAAAAATGTCTTCAGCAAACAGAAGTGCGTTTGGGGGAAGGCCTGCCAGGTGTTTTGAAAGAACCCTTATAAAGTACCTTGGTGAAGTCAGCCCTGCTCAGAGTCCTGGCCTGAGCTCTACAACATCAGCAACTCAATTTTTGTGGGCGTCAGATGGAGATTTGCTTTGAGCAGACTCCTACCGTCCAGCTCACACAACACAGAAGGACAATTTTGTAGATACAAAGACGGAGCAGACGGGAACGCCCCGTTCAGCAGAGCCCCTGAGTCGTGGACGTTCATGGGAAAGGAGGGTGTCAGATAGTTGGTGCAGAAAGAGGAATCATGGACAGACTATGAAGTATTTTGACACAGTTTCATGGTAATTTCACTGTGCACCCCAAGTCTTCACTCTTTAGACATCTTGCACAGGCACTGTCCGTTCCTGATTCTTAAGGCTGGTTATCCTGTTCTTTGCTACCATCTGGCCAATTCCTTTCTGACACATAGGCTTTACCAGTCAGAACCAAATAACAAGCGAATAGTGACAGGGTCAACAGGTAGATACAGAACACAGTTAGGGGGCTGGGGATTTAGCTCAGCGGCAAAGCGCCTGCCTGGCAAGCGCAAGGTCGGGAGTTCGGTTCCCGGTACCGGAGAAAAGCCAAAAAAAAAAAAAAAAACAGAACGCAGTTAAATTTGCATTTCGGAAAACCACACATAATTTTTAACATGAGCGTGTCTCAAATGTTGAACGGGATTTTCTTTTACCCACACTAAGTAAGTACACAAATGAATAAAGTTTGGTATAAGTATACCCTATACACTATTTGGTTTATACTTGTGTTAAGAATTACATGTGGTTTATTTGAAAGTAAAATTTAACTAGGAATCCTTCCTTTTTATTTGCTAAATATAGCCAGCCCCAAACCGCCTGTCTCAACTCCCTCTCCTGTTACACTGATCGGTAATAGTTTTGTGTGTTACAAAGCCACACACAGACACACACACACACACTTTCTTGCTTTACTCATAAAAAATAAATAGCATTCATCACGTGTGGATTTACTGAGTTGATCCACAGCCAACAATTTTTCCTTGTCTACGATTTGTGTGTATGTCATGGGCAAACGGTTCACTGCTAGGTACCAACAGCAGCAGTTAAGTTGTGTTAGCCAGAGTGGCTTAAAGTAGTACAAATCATATGGGGTCGGATAAAGTACGAGTATAAATGAATTCAGTAAGACTGCTTTCCTTTGCTGCATAGATGAAGTAATTATGTGTTGAGGAATCTTACCATGGGAGAAGGGCGATCACGTGTAGGACAATGTGAGCACAAGGCAGGTCTGAGGAGAGGAGTCTGCAATTGGGACTTGCGTATCATGTGGGTACTGGTTCTCTACGGAGAACACGAAGACGTCAGTGGGATACACAAGAGAGCCAGGAAGATGTCAGAGAAACGCAGCGTCTCGGTTTCGGGGTCGGGCTGGCCCTAGATGCCAGGGCAGCTGGGCTCCCTTCTTCCTGCTCGTTCCTATTCTGTGTGTCCCTCTGTTCCTAACGTTACACTGTTTCTATTAGCAGCACTGTTTACTGAGTGCACTCAATTTTGTGGCCCAGGTGGCGGCCCCGTCATACTATTTGATATCGTATTTATGAGATGGGGCCTGATTTTCACACCACTGACTTAACATGTTAAAACCCAACTTGGTGAGGCTGGCTGTGCCTGATCCACCGGGCAGTGTCGAACACAGCAAAAGACCTGGTCATAGTGCATTGTATGACGTATTGCACTCAACACACATAACACAGTTTAATTCCGTCCCATTGCAATTGTTTGTTAATTACTTTCCTGGGAGCACAAAGCTCATATTCTTGGGCGCCAGCCATGGAAGGGCACAGCGCTCCGAATTCAGGATGTTTACGAATAACTGCACCAACAGCACCGACCGCAGTGGAGTGCTAGGGGTTCCGGTGGAGTGGGCCTTGAGGTTCCGGACACCTCTCTGCCCTCACAGTTAGGAGGACCAGAAAATGGAAGAGTCCTTGAGAAACTCAAGCCTGCAGGTCACGGATGCCCGGCGGGCATACGGGCCTTAAGACAAACCACACAGCCTCAACTTTCCCCCCTGTAAATAGGGATCACAGGATTCACTCCTCAGCGCTGCAGTGCACATTTTGCAGTCCTCAATGAAGCACCCAGCCCCGTGTCCAGCCGCAGCAGAGGCTCGGTAAGCCGCGTTCTGTGAGCGCTTGTGTTCAACTTCTCCAAGCGGCCGAGGGGACCATCTGGCCGAGCGTCCTTGCGAGGGCCCGCGCGGACTCCGCCGAGCCGCCCACGTTTCCTCCTGCGCCCTCGCCTCCACCGAGACCCCGCAGTCGGGGCGCCAGCGCTGGGCTCGTGGGGACCCCTCGGGGCGCGGGGCGTCTCGGGAGTGCTCGGGCTC